TAGACCAATCTGACAGCCACGATCTCATTTCGTATTTGAATTTTAATTTTTCTACAAATCTAAATCATGTGAAATTTTAGGCGTGTACTCTTTTAAAATTGAGGAATATAATAAAAATATCAAAAAATTAATTTGAAAAAAATTAAATGGACCAAAATATCCTCGAAATATTTCAAGGATATTTTGCTTAATTTTAAGTGTTTCGAATTATTTTTTTAATATTTTTATTAGGTGTGCTTTGATAAGAAGAATGAACGCCTGAATTTGTAAAAAAAATATTAAAATTCAAATACAAAATGAGGTCGTGACCATCAAATCGACCCAGATTCAATATGGGTCATTGGGCTTATATGTAGTTGTGAGTTAGTGAGCTAGCCTCAGCATTTTCCATATATATATATATATATATATAGTTTAGAACAAAGTATCCTGCTTAAAGGAAAACTGAAACATAAAGGACAACCATTTTTACAGAAAGAGATAACCATGGACACCTGTTTGAGAAATCCAGCCCCAAATGCACGGGTAACCTTTAATCGACCTTTCACCCTGTCATTGACAATGCACTCACTGTCATCAGGGTGTTCTTCTTTGATTCTTAAAACTTCCTGCATATATTATCGATACATCTTAGAAACCAAGTATGAGAACTAGGTAACTCAAAAACTGCATTAATGAAAATGAATAGAAAAGGCTAAGAGTAACAAGACAAGGGAAACAGAAAACCGTTCTTATGATGGCAGTGACCTGTTTTTTTGCACTAATTAAAGTGAATAGAAGTTAGGAGCAACAAGAAAAGGAAAACCATTCTTGTGATGGCACTGACTGAATTTTTTTGCATAGAACACAAGGCAGAGAACAGCACACTCATTTCTTGGCAGGCATGCCTTGATTTGAATATCAATTAAAGGCCAATCTCTAGTTAGGTCTCCCAGATAAATAAAAGGATTTTTCATGATTACAGAGATAGTATGTTCCGAAAAATGCATTCTCACAGGGTCTATGTTCTAGATTCTAGGCAATGTAACTCGGACAATAAAAGCATGAGTTAATTCAAAAGTGGAGCATTTATGGCTAAAGATTCGAGATTAAACTTCAAGAATAGGCAACCAGGATCCACACTGGAACTGTCATCACAAATCAGGCCAGCATCATTTAATCAGTCTCACTCAACTAGCATCAAAGCCTCATAATCCTTTTGATATGAATACACGTACCTCTTTTACTGTTTTTTTACAAGACTGAGAAGTTGACTATATAACCAGTAAAGTTCAGTGCAACTTCTTGTCGCTTACCGCAGCCAGAACAAATTTTCATTCCTACCATGACAAATTTTCCATTTGATTAAAACCTTCATCACCATCCTTATATTACTCCTTCCTGGTCCACTAATCTTGTGAAGCACACATTCACAGCAATCTGAGTTGGAGAATTCCAAAACTTTAAACGTTATACCTGTCATGCATCTGAAGATGATCGACTCTCCCAAAATTAACCCTCTTGCTACCCTACCTTATCAGATTTAGTCCTCTAATTTAAAGGAACTTCCCAATTTTGATACCAAAAACATGTTATCATGTCAAAATAATGATGGTCCCAACATGGGCCATTGTTTCCAATTCCCCAATCATAAAATCAAACCCAAGGTCAACAGAACTCTAACAAGGTCAAAGCACACATGTATTGGAGAGGTGACTACATATTGCAAGGGTCTTGAATGGACTACAAGGATGCTGGTGTTATATAAACATGTCACAACGACAAAACAATGATGACACCACTAAACCTTAAGTGAGGCACTCAACCTTCAGGGATGGCCCAAATAAAGAGGTGCTTGTTGTCAGCTCATGGGCAGCCTTCTTACCTCACCATTGTTCACCTCGACATTATGCAAATAATTCATGTTTAAAGTTTAGTTCATGTCAGGATGCTCCAAGGCCTTATCATGCATTAGTATTTCTTGAAGTCGCCTTATCTTGCATATGTGTGTAACTTGTAATACATGGTCATTGTCCATGTGTTCTAGATGGTATATTTGTCTAATGTGCATCACGTGAGGACAAGCATGTAGTTGCACATAATACATGTCATCTTAGTTATTATGAAGAGCAATCCAATCCATAGTTACCGGGATCCCCACATAGGTGGCAATCCCGCTTCGGAATCTCACTTCGGCACGCCGGAAAATCGATCTTCAAGGGATCCTGAATTTTTCATTTTGGGATCTTAATCCCATTGTTAGGGATCCCGATTCCTACCGTTAAGGATTTCGATCACAACCTTAAAGACAACAACCAAACTGATGATTTTCTTTATTTACAGCGGGCTGGCAACACAACTATGTTTGGGGTAAATAGCTAGCAACACAACTATACTTTTAATACAGTTGCATGGATTGCTAGCTATAAATAAAGCAGGGTTAGGTTTGTGTAATGTGTCCACCTTATACTATACAACTAAAGCATACCTCTAATTTTACCAGGAGATGGCAATAGTTTAACCTGAAGAACTGAAGGTATTGAGAGAGAGAGGAGGGGGGGAGAGAGGGAGAGGGAGAGGAAGAGATAGTTATAGCATCAACAACCCAATGAGGGGCACCTTCATGCTGGAGTTGTGCCTCTTGCAGATTGAGAGCTCGGCCATTTCACAGTTGAGTAAGAGGAAGGCCTGTTTTGGACATAGTAGCCATTGTTGGTACTGCTTGGTTGTGATTGGTTTAGTTGGTGGGGGCTAACAAGGCTTGCACCACCCCATAAAGACTCCTCACCGCTCATGCCGCTGCCATGAGAATGTGGGCTCGACGTTTGGGTAGGCTCGAAAGCTGAAGCTGACAAGGGTTCTCAGATCTGTGGCTTTGGCTTTGGTTTTGGTTTCTTACCCTCTGCAATGAAGCTCCCAATAAATTATCGCATGGGCCTCGCGTTCTACTCTTTACCTTTGGAAAAGTGTTCTCTTATCTCCTGGGCCTCACGTTCTAGTCTTTGCCTTTAGAGATTGGTTTACATCTTCGACGAAATTTTCCACATTTGCAGGCCTATATAAGTCTTATGGAGGCATACGTGGTGTGAGGCAAATTTGCCCTCATGGAAGCAGGAGCATCTGAGGACCAACATCGAACCTTTTTGGCGCCTTTTTTAGCCCGGTTCCTAAAACCATTTGTATCTTAAGAATAATTACTTACCTGGTTGTATAACATTTTTTGTGACCACTTCACATGATTTTGTACAGAGCACCCAGTCTATGGGATGCCTATTTTTTGCAACCTGCGGATTCTCTCTCTTAATACAAACTTAACAGTTTCAAAATAACTTTACTATGGCTTGAAAATTCATGTTCAACTCTAATTCTAAAATTTAAATTTCGAAAAACAATGTAGATCAAACAGATCAATAAACACTTGAAAATAGACCGTCCAGATAACTTCTTACAAGATGTACTATTCTTAGGACATGAAATTCCTTTTTTTTCTTTATATTAATATATATCGAGGTCAAGATAATTATTTGGAAGGTTTCCCAACTGCAGAATACTCTTTTTTACTGAATTTTAAGGTGCACCTTACTTCCAAAGTATATGATTGCAACTCTATATAAACTTTTCCAATAAAGAGATCCTTACTTTAAAGAGTATATATATTCCTAGATTATACACACTCGTTGAGGTTGGGAGCAAGATCCTCAAAAGGTTGGGATCAAGATCCCAAAGGTCGGGATCAAGATCCCCAAAAGGTTGGGATCTCAATCCCTAACATTTGAGGCTCTAGATCCCTAACATATACATTTTACATATGTGCTTCCAACCACAGAGATCTTCTAGCATTTCACAATCCCCCGTTCAAGATCCTAATCCCCACTCCCAACAACTATGGTCTAATCATCATTCACAAATTAGTTAATGCAATCCCTGAGGGCTCCAACATTCCATCAATAAGAACTATTATTTCGCATCTAGTTCCTAGTTTTGCACTGTCCACATGTTTATACACTATCTTTGATCTACACCAAGTCAAGTTATTCTTTTGTTATTCTTAGTATTTATCATACACAACCCTAAACTTCTCACTTTTAAGTTTTAAATTTTTCCTGTTTCATTGATAACAAATAGTAATTACTATGAAAACCTATGGCTGAGGAAGCCTAATAACCCAAAGCATAGCTTATCATTCTCTAATGTTAGTTGTCAACATTCAACAATAGGACAAATCCACCAAACCAAAGAAATTTTCTCATTAGAAAATCACCCTCGAGGAGGTATAGCTTGGAGAAACCTATCCCTAGAAATAAGATGATGACCAAAAGAGCCTAGCCTACACACATTGAATGTATGAAGACTTAAATCTTGCTTACACTTCCAGCTTTTAATGCATGACTAACAGTAAAGCAATAGATACAAACTGCCAGCATTGGCAAGTTCGCAATATCAATGTCCCATCCCTTTGCTAGATAAAATAAACCACAACTCTCTTTCATCTCAATTCTAAATCCCAGTTACATCCCTTAGCCTGATAAATAGTACCTTAAATCCCATCAAAGTTTATGCAAGGTTAGTGCCCCTTGCCACCCTTGTCTCTCCCCAGCCTCAATATTCCGAGATCTGAACAAACTCCCATCCCTTACTCTACTCAAAATTTCTACAAAATATGATTAGTCCACTTGAAATCTCTAAAGCAGATGTGAAATTGTGAACTTTTCTTTTTTTTTTTTCAGTGTTAAATTGTGACCAATCTTAGAAAGTTGTCTTATATCACAAACCAGGTAGAGCCAAAAAAAGATACTGTTGTATTAAAATAAGTTCCAAAAATACTAAGTCATGCCTTTGTGATTCACCTAGCCAGAGTCAATGTTGGTTGGACTTGTCGCAAGCCTAAGTCCTAAGCCAGCAAACCATGGTAACACATCATAAAGAAAAATGTGCACATGTATGCATATATACAGACCAACCATAGTCTATATCTACAATGCTTGAATTGATATTACTTTGCACCAAAACATAAAGCATTGCTTCAAATAAGGTTTAGTCCTATGACATTAACCACAATCTGTGCGTCAAAATATCAAGTTTGAGAGCTAGTGTTCAGAAAAGAAATGAGACTGCAAAATCAATCAATTTTTCAGTTTTATATTGCACCTAGTTCACCCATTCCAAATCATAAATGTATTTATTCAAATTGCATTGAGCATAAACCTTACTTCTTCAATGCTTGTACTGTGATCCGTTGATAATTGCAGTGCAGTCAATTTCATCGGGGCCGCGGGAGAAGCATCATTTCCCAAGTTCTCATTTCTCTCACTAGATTCGGGGGCCTCTTCAACAATACCCTCTAGTTCTATCACATGCCCTTCTTGCTCTTTTGTCACTCTATTACAACTCTTTGTTTCTGGTTGATATTGTGCTACAATAGCACGACTATCACCCACATTCATTATGTATACATCCTCATCTTTCATCAACATCACCAATAAGCAAGAACCCATCAAAGCAAGCTCAGGATTCTCGTCCAAAAACTTGTCGGTCATTTCTAAATATGCTACCTCAGTTGCTTCAAGTGCTTGCTCAAGAGCCTTCAATATAGAATCATGATCAATTTGACCTGATCTACATCTTCTATGAGTTTTTTTTGGCCTTTCCTCTCCTATCTCAACCTCTACCTTCTCTTTATCCCAATCATGTCCCCAAGGAAACAACTTTCTACGGTTCTCTTTGTGATTGGCATATCCATGCTTAAGCCTCGAGAAAAGCATCGATCTCCCTCTAGCCCTTCTTATGGAAGACTTATATTTCCCCCTCATATCTTCTTGACTCATTCCTTCTCTCTCTAGATAAGAGGCAGTTTTCGTTGAAGCATTAGAAGCACGTTTATGACGCATGAATATATTGTCTAAACTGAAAGTAAACCTATTGGATCCCCAAATTTCGAAGCCATCTTCGTCTTCCTCAGCGAGCAATTCACGGAGAGGCCTGCCTTTCCTTATATTACTTTCATCTGGTTTTTGCAATTCAAAGGTTACTCTCTTTGCCAAAGACCCAGAATGCGGCAAACTAATGGGCTCCCCACTCTCCCCAAGACCACCACTACCACATACTGCATTTTCTCTGTCTTCTTGCATCTTTCTATGAGATCGTTGCTCAGTGTTACCATATCCAGCAAGTTCTCTCTCTTCCACCAATTCATTAGACTTCTCCTCAAAACCATTATAGACTTTTCTACATGTTGGCGTAGTTGAAAGCAAATAGTTCTTTTGATTGGCACCTATCGCAGTCATATTTCTCTTCTCATCGAATTCATTGACGAGTAGATTGGAATTCCTCTCTCTATCTACTTTATGAAAATCTGAAGTTGGATTCAGATCATTACTCGGGACAATTGAGCTTTGCACTTCAATTACTTCACTGCTAGCCATACCAGCAACCAAATCGTCAGCCCGATCGCCACCCGTGGCAATTGAGTTTTTCTCTTCGTCAACATCAGTTACAGTTGATTCTCTTTCTGAATTTCGTTTATCAGTGTTCAAATTCGGATTTGGCTCCTTACCTTCTACTAGTACATTCTCTACCACTCCATCTGCAATTTCTTCTTGTCTATTCCATAACAAACCTTCGAGCTCATTGAAAACCGCCTTATAAAGATTACCCAGGAGAAAATCAGGAGCATCAGGACCATTGAAACCATCATAGATCCCAATAAATAGCCATCCATGCTCCTCGGATACGACCACATGAACCCTATCTTCCCCGGCTTTTCCATGAGCCCATTGAAGATTTTCATTCTCTAAATCAGTGTTAAACCCCATATATATGTTGGGGTCATTTATGTTTGGGCAATTTTCTTTCCCACTATAACATTTCCTAAAGGGTTGCAACCCCACAAAGTTAAGGACAGGAACCACCCATGGCCTCTGTCTCTCTGAGAAGCTCCTCTGAAAAGCCTTTCTCACACTAGAAAGACCCTTCCGTCTCGCACTAGAAAATCCCTTCTTTTTGAGGTAAAGACCACCCAAAGGTGCAGAGAAATGAATCCCATCATTGTTATCAAGAGGACCCGAGACTGTTCCTCTCTCTAGCGGCCCAGACATGAAACCTCTTTCTAAAATACCAGACATGAAGCTCCTATCGACATTTCCAGAGAAACACATCTCTGGGTTCTGGTGCTCAAGCCTTGGAACGGGTTGCAATGGCAGCGCACTGAAAGATGAGGTGCTCTCAAAACCAGTGACCCAAAAATTGTGGTTTTGGTTAATGGAGCCATGACTGAGACTCTTAGCCTGGTTTTGGAGTTGGTTTTCATTCAAAAGTGATGTTGTTCTTGGGGTTGAGGTGTTTGCACTTACTGATGCTCCAGAGATGGATCTGAAGGTGGTTTCAGTAAAACCGCCACTTCTGGTTTTTGGGTCTTCCTCTTCCTTTTCTTCTTCTTGTGAGCAAAACCTCTGAGAATTTGACGGAGAAAACGTCTGAGAATTTGATGCGGAAAATCTTTGAGAGGTTGAGCCCGGTAAAGGAGGTCTTATGTAACAGAAGGAGTGGCCAAGAGCTTCATCTAGTGGCCCTGAGAAGATGGCTTCATGGTGGTTAGGGAAGGAGGTTTTGGAGGGAGTGAAGCAGGGGAGAACCCTGGATATTCCGTTGCCCATCACATTGGGTTTTTAGAGAGAGAAACTTCTGGCCTTTAAATCATTGGCTGCGTGGTTTTGGGGCTCACTCTCTATCTATGATCACTGAGTTTGCTTCCCTTACACCTGAGAAAGATGACTGTGAAGTAGCTTCCGTTATTTTTTAGTGGTTTTCTGGTTATTTCAGACAAGAGAGAGAGAATTTACTTTGAAAAATTGATGAGAGAGATGAAAGGAGTGGATTTAATTTGAAAATGAGAGGGCGAGTGTGAGATGAATTTTACTTTGAAAAATAAGAGAGATATGAAAATGCCCCTCAAAAAGAGTATAACTTTGTTGATATGCCCATTATGCTCATCACAAAGACTTTATAAAATTCTTTTTTTTGAGATTTACCGAGAGAAAAAGCTTATATAAGGATGCAACTTTAATTATAGAAATAAATTTGTATTAATCTATACCATTTTTATTGTTTGAAAAGGGAAGATTTGATGTTGTTTGAAAAGATATAATATTTTTTTATATTATTTTAAAAAATAAATTAAATCTACATCATCTAATTAAAATGAACAACGTGAAACGTTATAACTTTACTTTTACGATTAAAAATACGGTTTTTATATACACAATACCCTCTATTGAGAGAGAGAGAGAAGAAGGCATATATGTTGGTTGTGCCGTCTCTTGTGATAATGGGTGGGCTTGTGAAGAACCTCTCTCCAAGTGTATTACCAAATTTTTATTTTTGCACTCTCTTTTATATTTTTTATCAATGTCCATAGAAATGGAGACTCGAGCAAGTCTAAAAGCAAAACCTTGAGACCTACACAAGCTTTGCTTGATGCTTTGGTAAGTGATGAGTTGACTGAATTGGCTCATCCGTCCTCGTTTCTTAGTTTCTCTTTATTTTTCTTTCTCTGCCTTTCTCCGTATTTCTCTTAGACTTTTTCAATTTCCCACTTCCCCCACCAACCTGTTTTTATCAAAACTTGACTTTATAATCACTGGTTGCTTGCCAATTTCCACCACGATGCTGCCAAGCTCTTACCAACTTCCTCATCATGGGCACTGTCACACTAGTGCAGGTTGGTGCATAGTCCCAACCCAGCTTGAGTGGTTATTGTAGATGGAATGGAGCTTATTGATATTCATGGTGTGAGGTTTAGGTCGAGTGGAGGAGGTCGGAGAACTTCAGGTATGAGGAAGTTGTTTTGAATGAGATAGTTGATGTCTTTGTTTTGAAAAAAGCAAAAGGTAAGTCCAAAAAAACGTCGTTGGAAAGACTTCGAAAAGATATAGAGATTTTTAACTTCAATGAAAGTATACCTTTTAATAGAGCAGGATGACGGACCAAGATTTATGTAGCCGACTCCAATTAATTGAAAAAAATTTATAATGATGGTGATGATAAGCCGAGCTCCTTGTTTAATTGGTGTTGTCGAAAATGCTGTAGATGTTTGTGTTTTGTTAAGTTTAGGATGATCATATTTAGAAATAAGGATTTATTTCTCTCTCTCTCAGCATCACTTTTTTTAAAAAAAGATGCAAATTTAATTTTTATATAAAAAAAATTATATAAAACTATAATTTTAAAATATAGAATTACATATGCACCTCAAAAATCCATTGAAAATTATTGTGTTAATGTTGAAAAAACTTATAATTGATCATCTCAGTGTTCTCTTTCTTATCACTTGTGAAAAGTTTTTCCATTTTGCTGGGTACTAAAGGTATTAGGAACATTGGCATGGTCACAGCAAAGTTATTCAACAAAAAAAGTCGAACTTTGCAATTTGAAACAGTCGTAGTCCCATTGACATTCCAACAAAAACGTAAGGGCAGTTAAGTCTTTTTCTTCTTCTCCTCTCCAGTTTAATATAAGAACTACTACTCGGGTCGTGAAGGAGAAGCGAGGACTCGGACACTCAGCGACACGCCACGTGTCATGGTCTATCTTCATTCCACGTCATTGACACGTCAATTTAAACGTGTCAGATCTGGCCCTTCAAGCCATGAGCCGGTTTTTTTAGAATATGCCCAAAATACCCTCAGGCTTTTATTGGGATAGAAAGAACATATTAATTTGTGAAAGAAAATGAATAAACAAACATATGAATAGAAATTTTGGATGACCTGAAAAAAATATGGTTAACAAAAAGAGAAAGCTAGTTAAACAGGGCTAGATTTTCTCCAAAATTTAGGAGTAACGGACTATATGTTTGTTATGATCGTAGTTATCAAGATTGGATCAGGACACCCGATTCATCTCACTAGACCATCGATGCTTTGGCCAGTTCAATGTAGAATAAAATCTTGGTCAGTTAAAAAATCGGTTAAAATTGATATTTAACTTATTTAGGTCAATTGGATCGTTTAGATTTGACGAGTTCGATCATCTAAACCAAAATTGAGAAATTTTTTTATTATATTTTTTTATTTTTAAATTATTATTATATTTTTTAATTTTTTTAGAAATTTTAATCTAATCAGGTGCTAGTTTGAACCGATTTTGATTGGATTAAACTTTTTACTAATTCAGTAGCTAATCAAATCCTTATAACGACTGAGATTTCACAATATATTACTATTCATTTTAACTGCCAAGCTATTAGAATGTTTACTCATATTAATAAGTTTCCTAAAATAAATAAAAATCCAAAAAGATTAGAATTCTTGGATCTATCTCTTGGTTTTGAGATATATGTATCGACGTTTCTTATTTAGTATGGATTCCTAGCCTTATATATATGAGATGAAAGTGCAGATAATTTATGTGACTTATTTATGTACTATATGAGAATGGTACTAGCTTCATCTAGAGAGGAGGGGGGGGGGGGGCAGGACCTCCTATGCATAAGATGCAAGGTTTCCTCTTAGAGATAAGATAGTTTATTATGGAAAGAAACATTGTTATGACGTCTCTTGTAGACTCTGAAGGAGGGGCTTGTTTGTTTTGTAAAGAAATGGTTCCCATAGAGATTCTGTGTGTTTTCACTTTTAATCAGAGAGAAAGTAAGTTTCTCGTTGCTCTCATATCTCTATTTGGTATTGTTGGTAATGGTTGCCAGAAGTAAAGAGAAGTAAGGGATAGTGGTTTAAAATGGTTTGCTCGACTGTATTTTGTCGAGAATTAGATATGTAATTCTATGTCTCAAAATCTATGATGTAACTTTCATTGGTATATTGGATTTTAGTTTGTTGTACCCGTGCATATAGCCCTTCTAGAGTGAACCATGTAAATATATGTGTTTTTATGGTATGTGTTTCATGCTTTATTTATTGTATTTTATTTACCAAAAGTCAATACATCGGGTTTAGAGCTTTCGCACACAAGAATTTACATTAGAGCATAGTTTGAGGTTTTCAGTATGGCAGTAGAGGTTTCGAATGCAAAGTTTAAGGTGGAGAAATTTGATAGTAAACACAAATTTATAGTAAAAAGGATGAAGAAATTTATGTGGCAAAAAATAAAGAATTTATGAAGCTATCTAATGGATGTTGGCTTGGTGAGCAGATAATTTTGATATCAAGGTGATGATTATTGGATTAGGTACTATCCAAAATCATGCACATAAAAAAATCTCATATTATATGGGATTGATATTGATATTGATAAGTTTCTTAAAGGAAATAGAAATCCAAAAAGATTTGTGACTCTTGGATCTATCTCTTGGTTTTGAAATATATGTATCGAACTTTTCTATTTAGTATGGATTCCTAACTTTATGTATATGAGATGGAAGTACAGATAATTTGTGTGCCCTAATTGGGGAATAACAGTAGCTTCTTCTAGAGATAGAGGGGGGCAGGGCCACTTGTGCATAAGATGCAAGGTTTTCTCTTAGAGAGAAAAGAGCTTCATTTGGAGAGAAACATTTGCGACGGTGCCTCTTGTAAACTCTGAATATTGAGAGACTCGTTTCTTGTAGAGAAGTGGTTCTCATATATATTTTGGGTTTTTTCCCTTTTAGTTATAGAGAAAGTCAGTTTCTTGTTGCTCTTGCGTCTCTATCTGGTGTTTTCAGTAATGATTGCTAGAAGTAAAGAGAATGAATGGAGAGTGGTTTAAAAGGGTCTCTTCAACTGTATTTTGTCGAGGGCTAGAGATATAATTCTATATTCTAAAATCTATGATGTAACTTTCATTGATATAGGGGATTTCAATTTGCCGAGCCTGTGGATGTAGTCTTTATAGGGTAAACCACGTAAATGTTTGTGTTTTGTTGTATATGTTTCATGCTTTATTTCTTATACTTTATTTGCCAAAAATAACTCATAAGGTTTAAAACTTCTGCGCACAACAAATACTTGAAATAGATCCTAAAAAAATATTTTCCATAAGATGTCGCTTCTAAATCTGTTTTGTTTTTTTTCCCTCTATTATTGAAATTGAGATGATTGATTTTGAAGAAGTGCAGATTTTCCAAGGAGGTTCAAAGTTTAATTCTATAAAGCTATGTAAAATACTTTTCTTTCTATCATTATTTAATCCTAGCCACGTGTAACAAAGAATGAGCTTAGAGCAGGCAATCAAGATGGTGGGGAACCATAACCTCGTGTCTTGAGTTCCAGTTCTAGCATATGCAGGTAGGGGTGGCAACAGGTTAGGTATGGGTCAAATTTGGATGGACCTAGATTGGGACTCAGACCCAGACCCAAATAATATTTGGGTCCAAATTTTAGACCCGTACCTAACGTTTTGGGTCTTGGGTCTGGTTCGATCCTTTGTCCCCTATGACTATGAGTTTTTTTTTTTTTGTTGCCCTTGTTTTACCATCATATACTTTATGACTATGAGTTTCTTTTTTTTTTTTGGCCAACAATATTGTAAATGTCGCCGATATTGTGACAAGGAAAATTGTTTCATGGGGGTTGGACGACATTTCTACATATGCGGTCTAGAAGGTGTAAAGCATCCATCTTAAAGATGGATCCAAGTAGGTGTTCCATTTAAATACAATGAAAACTAACGGTCCAATTGTTTTTTTACTAGAATTATTATTTCTAGTTTTTAAAAATTATTATTTTTTCATAGTCATGATCTCCACGTTAGAGATTACATGCCTTTAAAAGTTAAGTCTTAAAATCAATCTAAGAAATAGATTATCAAGAGGCCTGCATTTCTACATATGTGAGCATGGTCGTATAGAAACCGGATCTTGATGACGATATACACACTTAGCATGCGTTTAAAGACACATGATTGCCATCATATATCTTATGACTACAGGCTCAAGTCGGTACGAGTCTAGTTTG